CTGCTGACCCTGACCATGAAAATAACACTTTCTGTATGTTCCTTTTCCCCCTGCCAACAGAGCACAGCAGAAATATCTGGCTGAGCATGGCAACCGCAAACTAATCCGCTGCATTATCAGTGTCATTAAAGTGTCATTACAGTTTGCTCATTACTTCCTCTCTGTGGTCAGAGGTGACAGCAGAGGCCCGATTTCATGCAGAACAATGAGAAAAATCAATAAACTAGCCATGTGCAGCTGATGAGTAACCCCACAGATTGGACTTGAAGCCAGGAGCACATTTCCATTGAAAGTTAAAATCCCCAACAGATATCGACAAGCTAAATGATTATCACAATCCATGCAATCTTCCAGCTGTAAACTTCTGCTAAACCTATACATACAGCATTTATTAATGTGAGAAATCTTTAAAAAAAAAAAAAAAAAGTGTGATACTTTGAAATGCAGATTGAAATACTTCATCAAGAACATCTCTGCAATTCTCACTCCATCTCCATTGACTTCAGCACCAAATAACTGAACAGTTACACTGGGGGGAAAAAACAGAAAGAAAGAAAAATAAAAAGGGCTTTTGTGCAGGACTCCGCTTTGAAAAACTACTAACAGTCTAATGGATGCATAAACACACTCTCCAAAAGGTCAGCACGGTTGCTAATGTAATGAAAACGCTGTTGATTGCTGCTTTTATGTCAAGGAAGCCAGAGTGAGTTTGGCCAGTTTAATAAATGATCGGTGTCGTCGCCGGTGCCAGAGCTGCATACCAAGCAGCGGCGACGGCAGACAGTAACAGCTAGGTACGGGGGCTCGGGAGAATGACATTTTCAGAGATGTACAGAAGAATAAATGATAAGCACGCGAAAACAGAAGCTGGGCTCATTAGACGAGAGCTGCCATTTTGAAAGGACAGATTTTAACAAAGGGCAACTTGAGGTGGAGCGATGACATTCTCTTTTGCTGAAGCCTCTTTATTAACTATAGATTTCTGGGCAAACACCCGATATCTGCCGAGCATTCCCCACAGGGTACGCTGTCCTTACTGTCAGCCGGATCTCAACGCTCAGACTCATGTTCAACATACCTAAAAGAACAGTCACAGGAGAGCATTCTCCCGAGGCACTACACACACGCTCAAGCCTGCAGCCAATAAGGTCATGTGTCTTCTTCTGACAAGCCAAGGTCTGGGCAGCTTTTGGGGGTGGAGGAATTCAAGGGAAGTGTGGGGGGATCCAAAGGAGGTGTGTGTGCGCGTATGAAGGGGGGTTCAGGAGGGGGGGGGGGGGGGGGGGGGGGGGGGGGGGGGGGGGGGGGGTTCAGGAGAGTACTTTTGCATTACAGGCAACTCTTCCTCCATACCTGGCCAGCGATCTCATGAGAACTGTCACAGTCTACACACCAGGCTCACTGAAATTCCCAGGCTGCTGATAGGTCCATTCATTCTAATACTAGCAGCGATGGCCTGCACTGATCCTTCCTCACACACAAACTTAGCATACACACACACAGGTGATCTCCCAGCTCAGTCCCACGCCGAACAAGAGGAGACATTTAAGACATCACCAAATTCCCTGCTATACTAATAACAACAACAACAACAACAACATGTGATCAGTGTAAAAACATAACCAGCCTCGTCTTTCTATGAAGGGGTGTGGCAGCTGAGCCACTCATCCTCACCATTTAGTCCATACAACCTGCTGCAGTGGTGGAGCCATACATTACTCCAAGATGTCGCGGTTCGCATTTTCCATCACAGGTTAGCCAGAAGAATGGCAATCACGTGCACTCAGCCACGGATAAAAGGTGGCAATAACGCCTACAACTCAAACATAGGTGCTCCCCTCCTCCTGCAAGCCATGTGATATTGGGCGATTGTAACTGGCGTCGTACAGGTTGCAGCCTTTAACGCGTGCGTTTCCGACGCAAGCGCGTGAAAAACAATGATTTAAAAAGTTGGAAACAATTGCCTGCTCGTACGAGAGGCAGCTTGACTGACATGGAAACATGGCGGAGGTTGGTTTTCTCCGGCCAGTGCAATGCAAGTTAGTATACCAGCCGGTCCGTGAACTCTTTAGACTCCGCACTCACCGCACGCTCGATCCTGCGGCTTCAAAGGCCAAAAGAAGGGAAAACGGAAAGATAAGAGACAGAAAACCAAACTCACCGGGCGACCCCCTGCTGCAACCATGTGGTCTGTACAAGTCGCCCAAGAAAGAAAAAGCAAAAAAACGACGCGATGCAACCACAAAAGTCAGCAATTAGAGACCCCCACAAGTTTCGTTAATTCAAATGAGCATCACGGCGACTGAAAGACCGCAGATCCATTCAAAAAAAATGCAGCGCAGTCACAGAGCAGAGAGAGAGGGGCTGGGACTCTCACGCTCACACACAGCATGCAGTTTGATTAAAAAGCTTGGTCGGAGAGGTCAGGCAGATCTGCTGCTGCCAGGGGGGGAGATGGTCACCAGATTAAACCGATTACAAGGGGGGGGGGGGTGTAAACCTACCTTCAAATCCTCTGCTGGGGCATTTCAGGCAAGTCAGCCCTGAGAAGATGCACATTAGCCGGCAGCCCCGCTCCTCAGCACTAAAATATCCTGCGCGTTGAGGGGAAATTTCCAAGTGGCCAACAGTGTGTGAGCAGCAGAGGTACCGTGTGTATGTGTGTGCGTAAATGGGGAGGGGAGGGGACGGGGGGGGGATAATCCTACGGTGGGGCAAAAAGGAAATGCGTCATTATTAATGGCCCAAGCGTTTTGTAGTCCGTTTGGTCATATCTGTACCCAGTTAAACTACAAAATGGATCGGGTTCGGTGATGTAGTGTTAGTTTCACACGGTTCTTTTTCTTCCTGTTTTTTTTCTTCTTCTTTTTAGTAACAGACGAGCATTGATGTGCTAAAACCAGAAACTAAAAAGAAAAGAAAAGAAAAGAAAAGAAGAAGAAAAAAGACACGCAAAAATCACCACCTGCTCAAATATTTTGAAAGTCCAGGGCTTGGGAAAAAATATTCAGCTTTGATTTTATAACACAGAAGGAAATGTACCTAGTTGATAATTCTCATATTTAATGCTACTGCTTCTTCCCACACTGAAAAAATGGAAATATCTGACTGACTAAGCAGTATAGTGGACAGCAAAAGATCTCTAAACCACTTGTAGGGTCACAAAAACATGTTCATACACCAGTGACTGAGAGAAACTTTCTCTCTCCAGCAGACAAATATGCAGATGTTGATACTGATGTACAAAACTGCACCATATGAGCCAAATTTCCATATCAGGAAACACTAAAAAAAAACAAAAAACTTTTTTTTGACTGAACACTGAACTGAAAATCAGCAGATAGAATAAATTGAGCTTGAGCTTATAGGACTGGCACATTTTCTAGAATGCATCTTAGACTGTCTCCATCACCTCTCAGGTTATATACACACAGTCCCTTTGACCTTGACTGAGTTATTGTCTTAAACTCAGTGAAGTTCCCCCAAAGCCCCAGAAGACAGCTGCACATATGTCACAATAGTAATAAATGAAGAACTATGTATTAAGTCAACGTCATGAAAGTGGATGTCTGAACTGCTAATTTCATCCAGGCCACAGTTCTGAATCATCAATGTTTGTCAGCCTTCTTACTGACATTCACATCACCCACGGCCTGCCACGCCACTAAAGTGAGGAGCTGTGCCAGTAAGTTTCTTTTTAATAACCAACTGAACTGCTTAACGGCTTTAGAACTGGGAAATAATGTAAAAACAATCAGTTATGTGTGTTATTATGTTTTACCAGTTCAACCCACTTAATCAAAGTGGTCAAATGGAGCTCTATGTGCTCCATGATTTAAATGATGGATTTAAACCACTGATTTAAGCCATTTGGGAAATGGGACCCAGCAAACTATGTGGGAGCGAGACAAATAAAGGAAACTCTACACAGTATTTAGGTGTTTTACTTTACAGGGGCCACTTGGGTTAAAACTGAACAAGAATATAAGTTGAGGGATCGGCAGCAGTTGTTCCACATGTTGTAAGTGGATATCGGGTTCTTGTTGTCAGGGCAAACTGGGGTGAAATGTGAACCTACGTGGGGGGGAAAGCTCAAAGATATCGACCCCAGCTGGAGCAGGACAACTACAGCTAAATACCAAACATTCTCATGGAAGCCCCTTGATACCCTCAGTGCCGTTAACTCTGTCTGCCTCACGCTGAGGTCCGTCTGCCCCTGTAATCTCAATACTTCCACAACGACTCCAGCTTAAATCACCAGGCACATTAATGAGCATTACAAAATAAAAGCCTGCAATTTTTCATTTTGCTTTCAACAAGTACTCATAGACATGAAAGAGGAGGGGGAAATCCTTTCAAGTACTGCAGACCTACCACAATAAGAGCTATTCGGCTGTAACACTTTGATTACTGCTTTAGTTTGATGAGCTACATCTATACCACAAAACAACATGCAGGGAGCCACAGCACACAAACTACTAGGTGGGCACATAATATGCTATTTACACTGTGCCGAGTTAATTGCAATGAGCAGAAAGCAAAATAAAGAAATGCATAAATCCTTCCCCTGCACATGTAATCACCTTTAAACCCTCTACAAACAAATATCAGCCAAATGCCGCCACCTTGTGGCAGAATACATGCAATACATAAACGAGGGCAACACGAACTCCAATTTATTGCTCTTACAGATTTTAAAACTTTTTAATGAGGTAATAACTAAAAGTTTTGGTTTTTTAGATGTTTTGAGGAGGTTTAAGTCTGCAACATAAGATTCGTGACAAACCTATCAAAACTGTTGCTGCTCCTAAAGAAAGATTGAACATAGATTCAAAAATTAGACGCTTTCCAATCCAGACTTGGACAGCCAATAATCTTTTATGCTTCTTCATGTTAGTAAATGCAACTGCACAGGAGGAATATGCTATTAGGTTTTACTTTGAGGTGAAATCATTTTGAAAAAAAACTGCATCAGTTAACAGAAATATACCCAACAAATGTTGTATCTGTACAAGCAGAACATCTTTAATCAAAAGATAAAGGTGTTGACAATATTTTGTACATGGCAGAAAAATACATTTAGATGTGAAGCACACACAAATCATTCTTAAACGTGAGCTTTATAGGTTCTGACTGCAGTTTAGTTTCAAATAACCATTCCTTAAAATCTATTCTGTTCCATGTTTTGCATTTAAATCACAAACACACAAAACCATCTACTCCATTTCATTTAACATTATGGGCTTTGGTTCATGTATGTCGGACTCCATGCCTGGCAAGCTCAATCTCCTGCGTGCAGCTGTCTCAATCTTCTGCACCAGCTCCACATCCCAGGGATGGGTGACAAAGCTGAGCACCTCCCCATCCTCTACACCACCTGCTCTCCCTACTCTGCCTGCTCGGTGGATATAGTCCGTGTGGGATTCTGGGAAGTCGTAGTTGACCACCAAGCGCACTCTGGATGTGTCCAGGCCACGTGAGGCAATGTCCGTGCATATCAGCACGTCTACGTTGCCCTTCTGGAAGGAATGGAAGATTCCTGCACGCACAGCAGCAGGCATCTCCCCTTGGAGACGTGCATGCTTTACCCCCATCTCTTCAAGCGAGTATCCAACCCAGTTGACGGTGGAAGACTTGTTGCTGAACACCAGAACTGCGCCTCCACCTCTGTCTTGCTGCAGCAGCTTCAGAGCTTGGTGGAGCTCTAGGATCTTGTCGGCACCTTTTACCTTCAGGAATGTCTGTTTAACATGGGGCATAAGAAAGTGCAGCATCTTGCTCCTAATAATAACTATTTTTCCAAGATCTGTCACCTTGCTGAGCACGTCGCCCACACCACCTGGGAAGGTTGCCCCAACCACGAGGAGCTGTGCTTTGTGACCCAGGCCACGTGTTTCCTTGGGATCACTAGCAACGTTGACGTGAAGCAGGATGTTCTCCAGCATGTCAGAAAAGCTGGGGTCGAACATTGTGTCAGCCTCATCGACCACAAAGAACCCCAGCTCACTCAAATCCAGACAACTCCTCCGCAGGGCCTTGACCAGAGCACCTGGCGTAGCCACTAAAATATCCGGATGATCCCTCCTGAAGACTGTCTTGATGTGTCCCACACCTCGTCCTCCTCCAACGGTCCTTGTAACGAAACCAAATGGCGCACACAGAGTCCTGGACACAGCTGCCACTTGCTCTGCCAGCTCTCTTGAAGGCACAAGAACCACAGTGCATATCTTGTGTGCACTCTCAGAGTAACTTTCAGACTCCCTATCAGCCTGCAGTCTGTGAATAACAGGTAGGAGATAACTCAGCGTCTTCCCACTGCCAGTCTCAGCAGCACAGAGTACATTGTGACCTCTCATGACTTTGGGGATGGTCTGCAGCTGCACAGTGGTGGGATGTTTAATACTGAGAGTCTCTAAAGTCTCCACCAGCTCCTTGCAGATGTGGAGATTATTAAAAGTGGCTAGCGGTTTCTGTCCAGCGTCCTCATTCCCGTTTTCAGCAACGTAAGGTGCAACAGCCCTGACGTTGTTGATGCTGAAATAGTCACCGAATGATTTGTTATGTTTCCATCCTTTAGAGCAAAGAGAAGGCTGCTCGAATTTTCCCAGAATGTATCCGGCAGACTGGTTCAGAGCTGGGTTCTTGCTCTGGATGAGGAGCTTTCCAGCTTTGATGGTGTTGATCTTGCTTTTGCTTCGAATTTCCTTCACGTTTTCAACGCGTCTCTGCAGGTACCGGGGAACACGAATGACCGCGGTCTCTCCTCCAGTCTGACAGAAGCGACTCTGACCGAGAGATCGAAGCCAAGCCGACGCTTTAAAAAGCTCACAGCAACACAATCTTCTTGATCCGAGAGCTCTGGACGCTACCAAAGCCAGATGGGCGACCTTCACAGCCTGCATTTTAAATACTTAACCGGCTCGCAAGTGTTGACGGGAAAAAGCAGCAAAACTGAACCATAAAAAAATTGGAAATCAAGCCCATTAAATTCACTGTAATTCCACAAAAGACAATATAAAGGTCCAAAAGGCGCAGAAATTTATATACTACACAGTCATGTCGCCATGCTTTCCCGGCGAGTGCTGATGATGTCAGTGGGCGTGGCGTGACGAGGTGTACAGAAAAGCCGAATCCTGATTCAACTCGTGTGTTTTGTTGTTTGATTGTTTGAGCTAAATTTTAACCAAAAAGACAGAAATGTAGCTTACGAGAGATTTATTATTATTTATTATAATATTACACGTCCTATATTAACATGCCATCACTATTTTTTTTTTTTTAGCATTTTATATTTATCATATCTACTTGTGTGATGTGAACGTTTGCAGTCGGTGGGGTGGTGGTTTGCACTGTTGTCTCAGAGGAAAAAGGTGCTGGGTTCAAAAACAATGGCTGGGCCTCTCTGTCTGGAGTCTGCAGTTTCCCCCTATGGTCGTTCGCCTTCTATCAGGGTAATCCAGCCTTTCAAAGACACACGTGAGTTAGGTTAACTTGTAATTCAGGATAGCCATAAGCTTGTCTCTTTCTCCGTGTTAGCCCTGTGACAGACAGCCTGTCTAGCGTGTATCCTTCCTAGAATAGGCTCTGGCCTTTAATCACCAAGAACTGGTTATGCAGAAGAAAAAGGAAGGGTGAGATAATTGGCAAGAGCGGAAAGAAAACATAATGAATTTTTAAAGGTATGATTATATTTAAAGATACACACTGGCATTATAAAAGAATACATTTATTAAACAAAGTCAATCGAGGGTCCCAAGAAAAGAATTCTACCTGATTAGTGCATCCACTTTGAAGTTGTATTCATCATAGGGCTGTTACAATGGTAACTCATTCATCTGTTGCCTGGCTTGGGCATTCAGCACAGCCTGCTGTATATGGTAATGTAAGAAACTGTAATAGATTACTCTAGGGTGAGAAAGCACACTGTCATTGACTCAGCAGTGACTGTCAATAACAGTCCACATGACTTTGAGTTCTCCTCAATCCCCTTCACCAAACAACAAATACCATTTGTAGAAGTTGTAGCCTTAGCACTACATTAATAATAATAATCAGAATCAGAATACTTTATTGATCCCTGCGGGAAATTATTTTTTTGTTACAGTGCTCCATTATAAACGAACATTAACAAGACAGACAATACGCTAACTAAGAATATATACATATAAAGTCACTTATTAATAAATAGCTGAAAAAGAAACGTGTAGTTGTAGCAGTAAACAGTGTGTTAAGTGGATGCGTTGTACAGGGAGATGGCCACAGGCAGGAAAGATTTCCTGTGTCGTTCAGTGGTGCTTTTCGGTAATCTCAGTCTCTCACTGAACGTGCTCCTGTGACTGACCAGCATGTCATGGAGTGGGTGGGAGGTGTTATCCAACATTGTTTTTATTTTGGACAACATCCAATAATGATAATGGATTGCATTTATATAGCGCTTTTCAGGGCCCTCAAAGCGCTTTACAATTCCACTATTCATTCACTCTCACATTCATACACTGGTGAAGGCAAGCTACAGTTGTAGCCACAGCTGCCCTGGGGCAGACTGACAGAGGCGAGGCTGCCATATTGCGCCATCGGCCCCTCTGGCCAACACCAGTAGGCGGTAGGTGAAGTGTCTTGCCCAAGGACACAACGACCGAGACTGTCCGAGCCGGGGCTCGAACCGGCAACCTTCCGATTACAAGACGAACACCCAACTCTTGAGCCACGATCGCCCCTGACTTTTCCACCATTACATTATAAGAAAAAGACAAGAAAAGGTATGGGTTATTTGTGGAAGGACAAGTATGTAGCAAGACTGATGTCATGCATCAAACCATTTATAACCTTAGGCACAGGCACGGTAAGAAACAAAATCCTACAATTATGCAACACAAAAAATTACATGCTGAACAAGAACATACAGAAAGAACAGTACAATGACACATGCATAAGATACCACTGGGTGGGGCCTGCTTTTGCCTTCAGAATGGCTTTAATTAATTTTATGGCACAGCTTAAACAAGGTGGTTGAAACTTTTGGCCTGTTGGTTCTTATTGACATGATAGCTCTATGCAGCTGCTGCAGTGTCATTTGCATATCCATGATGGGAATCTCCTGTTCCACCAAATCACAGTGGTCCTCTACTGGACTGAGATCTGAGTACAGTGAACTCACTGTCATCAGAATCAGAATCAGAAAGGGTTTTATTGCCAAATGTTGAGCAGGTTTACAACATTAGGAAATTGCTGCGGTGCTTCAGTGCAAACATGCTGTCATAAATTGCGCTTAAATAGACATGAAAAAATAAAAGTAAGAATAAGAATTAAAAGTGCTACGTAGAAAGATATATGCATGAGATATACATGAGATATATACATGAGAATAAGAATTAAAAGTGCTACGTAGAAAGATATATACATGAGTGCAGGTGGTGATCAGTGCCAAAACATGGAATGATGCAGTGAACACAGCGTAGGGTCATGAGTTAGTGGTGGGGACAGTCGTACGTTTATTGTTCATGTGTGTTCATGTGTCCATGTCATGTTCAAGCAACCAGTTTGAGAGGATCTGACCTGTGGGACATAGAAACCCTATCCTGCTAGATGGGCACACTGTGATCATAAAAGAGTGGACATGGTTAGCAACATCATCAAACCAATAAATCCAATTTTCTATGGTCCAGTTTTCCCTGTGTGGGGCATTTGGTATGGTCTTCTGCTGCTGAAGGCCATCTACATCAGGATTTGACAAGACTGTTGTGTGCTCAGAGATGTTCTTCTTCATATCTGCATTGTAACAGCTGATTATTGGAGGTTACTATTGCCTGCCTCAAAGCAGTCTGGCAATTTTCCTCTGGCATCAACAAGGCATTTTCACTGACACTCACTGGATATTTTCTCTTTTTTCCACCATTCTCTGTAAACTTCAGAGATAACTGTGTGGGGAAAAATCACAGTAAATCAGCATTTTTCTGAAGTACTCAGACCAGAACATCTGTCATCAACTACCATGTTGACAGTTGAACAGACACACCTAATAACACCTTTGGTTTGCGTTACTGAACCCAAAAGAGGCCAAGATTATGTTGTAATTTACTGATTTCTTTAAGATTTTAAACACAAGTTTAATGAAATCATTAGAGCCTAACCTTTTACCTAAAACGTGGCTGAGATGTGTTCTTGTTGGGCTTTTGCTCCAACATTTTAATTGTCAATATCATCACAAGAGGTATGACTGTTGTAGATCCTGCTGGTGCCCAGTTCCTTGAGGGGGATAATTCATTGTTGCTTCAACACTGGTGTGCAAGCTTATAAAAAAGGAGACTAATCTCCATAGGCATGCATCTAGAGAGGGTCCAAACAGGGGGAACAAGCAGCTTTACTGCCATTTTACTCTGCCTCTCTTCAGTTGTTTAATGGAAATACTCTTATGACTGTGTTTTGATAAGGGACTTTGTATCTTCCCACACAGCATATTATTTTATGCAAAGGACAAAGGTATTTATACATCAGGGGTGAAAAAAATCAGCTGTCTGCATCAGTGCTGCTGTCAGATCTAGCATTGATTGTATATCAGCTACCCTCAGCATGTGCTGAACGAATCAGCTCATTCATTGATTTAGTGTAGCTTCAGAACATCACACACTCTTTCAGTATTAGAGACTCTGTCACATGTTGGCCAAACAAATGCTCTGGCAGTAGGAATCCCTGTGTGCTGTACCCAAAGTAGGAAAGAGCTGAGTTGACGATGTATTAGTCTATGTACTACTTCATTTGAATTTATTTAATTAAGCATAACACTGCAGGGCAAATTTTAAATAGCGTGAGTCCCCTATTCATACAAGGCTTTATGACCAATCCGTGTTTGTTGAATTATTCAAGTATTAGACATCAACATTCAGTTCCAGAGATTGACCAAAAGAGGGCAGTATACAACTTCAAGGTAGATTTCACACCAACCAAAATCCTAATCGGAGAAATGTCAGTAAAGGCTTGCACTGTTTTTCAAGTCTGTCCATTTCTTTCACATAGACATATACAAACAAAAGCATAATGTGTCTGCATTACTGTTCGTTTTGTAAACTATATGCATCACACAGACACCTTTTCTGCATGGTAAATATTGCTGCTAGTCTGTAAATCTACCCCACAAAAAATAAAGGTATAATTTGCACACAGAATTAACTGCATTCAGACATTTGACAGCATAGATAGTTTCTTATTTCTCTTTTACTACTTTCATTATCATGAGCTTTTAAAATCTTATCAGCTGACATGCAGATATGGAGTTGCACACAGTTTGATATTCACTGACATTTTGTGAACATTGCACATGCTGCCATGGTGCTGCATTGCATTTCTGCAGTGTGTGCAAACTCCAATCCTTGAAAGAATGACACCTCTGAAACAGGACCAGTGTGGGGGCAGATGCTGCTTTTTTTTCCTTCATAACTTTCTTTACAAGAACATAATATCACAAACCACATCTACAGCCTCCTACACAATTTGTTTTCTTTATCTTCTCCCTTCAAAGGTCATCTGCGACGATAAGAGATGCAGGTAACCTGAATTAGAGACGGGTGGGCCTGGAGACATGACTTCTGCACAGGAGAAAGTTCATTCAAGTTATATAATTGCAACATGATAATATAATAATTCTATAATTTATAACTACAATATTATTATACTAATATACACGTGGATCAATTTCAGCCAAAGCCTTTTTTTCATTCCTTCCTCATTCTGTTTTATAGCCAGTTCCCTAGTTGTATTTGTAATTGAGTCAGATACAACTATAATTTTAATTTACATTTTTAAGGCAGGTTGTTTTCTTAACCCTGCTACTAAAAATCATTCTAAACAAACTGCTGCAACAACGATATGTGGTGTTTGTTTTAAATATGCTTGGTTCCTCTTTTCAGTGGTAAGGCGATAAGATAAAGTTTGAAAAAGCCTTAAGATTCATATGGTGACTTCTATGCATAATGTAATCTATAATGCAATTTACTTACAAGAATGTGGCATAGTTTTACGGTAATTTTATTTAAGTCAATATGCATCTATGAGAGACAGGTATTTGTTCTCTTTCTGTGCATTT